CTATTCCAAGAAATTTGGAAGACAGCTAGCTACTGGGCCAACTGAGGGGAAGAGACCCCTATTTGTGCCCATTCCAAACAAAGATGACCCAATAGCATGTGGAAATGGTCAAACGATACCATTACTATCCCATACAAGTCAAGTTCTGCTGAAGATAATTCAACAAAGGATGCAGAAGTATACTGACAGGCTCAGTCCAGATTCTGAAGAGGACATGGAACAAGGGACACCATTGCTGACATTAGATGGATCATGGCTAAAAGCAGAGAATACCAGAAAGATGTTTACTCGCGTTTCATTGACTCTGCAAAAGTATTCGACTGTCTGGCTCATAAAACCAACCGTGGACAACCTTGAGGAGAACAGGATTCCAGAACACTTCACTGTGCTCATGGGGAACCTGTACATGGATCAAGAGGCAGGTGTGTGAACAGAACAAGGGACTACCGCATGGTTTAAAATCATGAAAGGTGTGCGTCAGGGCTGTATCCTCTCACCATACTTAACCTGGATGCTGAGCAAATAATCAGAGAAGGTAGGTTATATGAAGAAGGCAGCTCTCGGGATTGGAGGAAGGCTCATTATCAACCTGCAATGGGCAGAGGACACGACCTTGCGGGCTGAAAGGGAGGACCTGAAGCACTTGCTGAGGAAGGTCAAGGACTGCAGCCTGCAGTGTGGACTACAACCCAACTGTAGGGAACATCGAAACCCTCACCAGTGGACCGATAGGTAGCATAGGTGGAGAAAAGATGGAAGCTGTCCGGGATTTCATTTCGCTTGGAGCCACTACCAACGCTCATGGAAGCAGCAGTCAAGAGATCAACGATGCTCTACATGGGGCAAATCGGCTGCACAGACCTCTGTAAAGTGCTGAAGAGCAAGGATGTGTGCCTGAGGACTAAGGTGCGCCTGCGCACAGGTCATGGTACTTTCAGTTGCCTCTTATGCAGGTGAAGGCTGGACACCGAATGAGCACGGGCGCTGGGGAATCGGCGCACTTTAATGACGGTGCTGGTGCGGAAGGCTGAACATACCGGGGACTGCCGGAAGGTCAAACACGTTTGTCGTGGAAGATGCGCCGCCAGATGCTCCTTAGAGGAGAGGGTGGCGAGACTTTGCCTTACAGACCTGTGTCAGGAGAGACTGGTCCCTGGAAAAGGAGGTCATGCTGGGTAAAGTGGAGGGTCATCCAAGAGGAGGAGGACCACCCCCACCCCCACCCCCACCGAGATGGATTGACACAGTGGCTACAGGGTAACAACCCTGAGAGTGGCAAAGGACCAGGACTTCCTGGCCCTGGTGGTCATTCCATTGTCTCTAGTCACCCCCAGGCCCTACCACAGGTAACAGCAGCAGCAATGTCATTAGACGCGGGCTCTGTGAAGGCCAAGTCCTCAGTCACTCGGCTGTCAATGCCAACTTCTTACAGTGTGTTCCCCAGAGGGCTGAAGGGTGGGAGGGGGTGGAGAGCAAGGTTCCTGCTGTAAATGACAGTGATCAAAGCCAAACCCACAGCCAGGGGGCTGATTCCCACAGCAAGCCTTGAGAGCGTTTCTAAGACTATAAATCTTTATAGGAGCAGAGAACGGATTTTTTTCTTTCTCCCTCAGAACAGCCAGTGGGTGGGTTTGAACCACTGACCTAACCCAACGCCCAGGCCATAGTGCCTCGGGGGCTCTGTGGCAACTATTCTGAGAACCTATTCAACTTTCTTCTCTCCCTGCCCTCCCACAACCCCCACCCCCACCCCTGATGAATCTGCCAGCAAGCTCAGCGGGGTCTTCCTCTAAAATATATCCAGAATCCAACCACCTCGAGTTTCCCCCAGGGCCAGCAACATGCCTGCCCCTCAGTCATCTTGTCGCTTCTCTCCAAGCTTCTCCGCTGGCCCGCCCTCGCCACGAGCCTACTGCCCACACTGCAGGAGGAGCCGTCGCTGCTAAAAAATCACGTTAGCCCATCCCTGCTTCCAGTGGCTCGTCACCCCAAGAGTCCTGATGGTCTATAGCAGTGGTTCTCAACCTTCCCCATGCTGCCACCCTTTAAGAGTTTCTCATGTGGTGGTGACCCCCCAACCACAAAATTAATTTTGTTGCTACTTCATAGCTGTAAATTTTGTTACTGTTATGAATTGGGCGAGCCCTGTGAAAGGGTTGTTCTACACTCCCCCCACCCCAAGGGGTTGCAACCCACAGGTTGAGAACCACTGGTCTACAGGAATAGGGTAGTGGAAGAAGCAGTCCCCAGGCCACCCCACAAGGACCTGCTTAAACTATAAGCAGCTTATAGGGATGTGGGGAGCCCACAAGACCAGGAGGGAATCAGATGTCACACAGGACCGCTACCCCAGGCTTGGAGGACAACCTAGAGCAGTCATTCCCTGCTTCAAGGCCCGCCCAGTGGATCAGTAAGAGCCACATCAAGGTATTCCCTTTGACATCAGTCGGTCCCTCCGACATCATTCACTTCACCATTTGGTTTTGCTGGCCACACGCGTATTTCATTCCACCAGTCACCTGGAACCTTCTAGCAAATATAACGTATATGTGGTAGCATTCAACCATCCTGGCGTCAGGAGTCCTGGTGATGGAGTGGTTTACCTGCTGGGTAACCAACTTGTCAGCAGTTCGAAACCACCAGCCACCCTGAGAGCCAAAGATGAAGCTTTCTATACTCGAAAAGAGCGCCATCTCTGAAACCCACAGGGGTGTTTCGACCTGCTCTGTGGGGCGGCTCTGCGTCAGCACTGACTCAGTGGCAGTGAGTTGTTCAAACGTTTGCTATTGTTGAGGTCAGAGACCCCCTTTTCATGGTCCAAGGAGCCCTGGGGCACAGTGAGCTAAGAGTGGGGCTAATAATGGCAAGGTCAGCCGTCCAAACCCACCAGCCGCTCCTCAGGAGGAAGGTGAGCCTTTCCACACGTAACGAGCCTGGAAGCCTCGGAAACGCACAGGGCCAGCTCTCCCTGTCCTATAGGGATGCCCTGGAGCGGGAATGCACTGGAGGGCAGTGGGCTTTGGGTTTTCTGAGTTTTTCCCTCTCTGGGGAACTAAGCACCTGACTGATGTCGAGTGGCTCCGCCGGGTCCTGTGTGTATAAGAGAGGCCCTGGGGGGGCACCGCCGGTTAGAAGCTGGCTGCTAACCTCAAGGTGGGTGGTTCTAACTCAGGTGCTCCCTGGGAAAAAGATAGACGGTCTCGGAAACCTTATCAAACGTCGATAACCAGAACAGACTCGATGGCAGTGACTGGTTGCTGTGGGCTTGGCCCTGTGTACGGGTACTTAGATGCCTTCAGTACCTTTTGAATTTCATCTCTGTTGACGAGCTATGCTCCAAGGGGGTGGTGGTGGGGTGAAACCTTTAAAACTGCCTGAGCTGTTAGTGACGCTTCTCCACAAATCTCACTCTGATGAAACCAGCCCACTACCCCCCACTTGATTCCAACTGCCAGCAGCCGGACAGGACAGAGCTGGAACTGCTGCCGCCTAGTTTTCCAAACGATCGTTCCAGGAGTAGATGCAGATGGCCTCTCTCTCTCTCTGCCCCCCGCAGCTGCCGGGGGCTGACCTCCCACCTTGTACTTCGAAGCACCAGATGCCTCACCCATCCTAACTGGATGACTTAAGTCTTCCCTTTACCGTCAGGGCAAACAGGTCTGTTAATTTTCAAATGGTGGTAATTTCCACAGAGACCAGTGAAAAATACCTCGGGTTTTCTACATATCCCAACCAAAAAAATATTCAGCGAAATGCCAAGAAATGATATCAGTTCTATCAGGACCAGTTAACGTTTAGTTGAAGAATGAATGTATTTTCTAGGGACAGTCTGGGGGGCTTTTTTTTTTTTTTAATGGGGTGAAGAGATCATGGAAATTTTCAACGATCTTTTCTTTTTTTTTTTAACCCTAACCCTAACCCTAACCCTAATCAACGATCTTTTCGAAACACCCTCCGTACTTTTGGGCTGAAACCCCGGCCTGTTTCCTCTTGTAACTGTCTGAGAAAAAAAAAAAAACCAACTCTGGGGGACAGGCGAGTAAGACCTCATGTGTGGCGGAAGTCTAGGTCTGGGTACCCCAATCGGGTACCCCAGCCTCCGTCACACCCAAACCCTTGCCTGGCTCCCACGCTGACTCAGAGGTGGACATGCGCGCGCGCGGTCAGGGCTGTAAGTGCTATACTGTAAATGCCACCCTGCCCGGTGGGTGGGCAGGCTGCATGGCTGGCAGGCTGAGCCTATGGTGTCTGGATCCGGCCGGAAGAACTTCTTCCAACTGCAGACCATCTGGAAGGCTTGGAGCGTGCGGCCTTTTCCAGGGCAAATCGGGTCACAAGGAAGTCCACCAATGGGGGAATTCCCCGAAGTCACCCTGGGGACCTAGACGTGGACAGGACCCGCGGCCGGGGCGTATCTGGGGTATGGGGAACAAGGGCGGCGGGCAACAGAGCCAGGGACAGGGCCAGCGCCTGCGCGAGTGCCCGGCGCCGAGCCCGGGTCCGACACCTGCCGCCACGCCACCCTCCAGGCCGCCGGGGAGGCTGAGACTCCGCGGCTGATGACACACACCCAGGGACTCGTGGCGGGGCGGGGTGTGGTGCCACGCGCCATGTAAGCCCAGCGCGCGCGCCCGCCCGCCAGCGCGCCGGGCTCCGGGTGCTGGGGCCCGCCCGGAGGTAGCCCCAAGCCCACCCCGTGCGCCCCGGGCCCCGGCAGCTGCTAGCCGCGGGCATCGCCAGCCGCCAGCGGCCCACGCTGACTCTGATCGGTGTTGCATCATGCACCACGCCGCGCCTTCAGGGAACCAAAATGGACTCCGGGGGAGGCGACAGCCGCATGGGCACCGGCCCCGCGCGCACGCCCCAAGCCCGCCCCTGCCCGCCACCCGGCCGCGGGACCCTCGCCGCTCCCTGCCGCCGCCCCACGCGGCGTCGGGCCTCTCCAAGGTGACCCCAGCCGGGGGCGCTGCGCGGGCGCCGGTGGGGGACCGGGCACTCACCGAGCCGGGGAGATGCGGGAGAACCGCGGGTGGACAGATGGACGGCCGGACGGATGGCGGGGCGGGCGGCCCAGCGCGCTGCGTGGCGAGCGGGAGGAGAAGGTGCGCTTAACGGATGCCAGCTGCTCGCGCCCCGCGCGCTCGCGCCGTCCGGCAGTTGGTCGGCCGCTCACACCTGCCCGCGCCGAGTGAATGGAGCGCGGGAGGCGGAGCCCGCGCGGTTTCCCAGCCGCGCGCTGCCCGGTGCCCGCCCCCGCCCCGCCCCGCGCGCCCCGAGGCCGGCCCCTCCGCCGCGTCCACCGCCCGTCTACCAATGAGCGCGCCGCGCGGCCCCCCGCGGACCCATGGGCGGGGCGGGCATCGAAGCGCGACCGCGCCCCAACCTGCGATTCTCCCATCGGGGCGCCGCCCACCAGGCCGCCGCCTGCCCGGGCCTGGGTGGCCTCTCCGCCTAGGGGAACCACCGGCTGGGCTGTGGCCGGGACCGTGCGTGCCGTGCAGGCGGGGCCGAACCCACCGTACCTCCGGCGCCCAGCCCGCTGCCCGCGCTACCCGCCGGCTGCCCTTCTCCAAACGGAGGGCTTCACTGGAGCCTACGTGAAGGGGTTTTGACAAACGATTCTAGTATTCCTTCTGATGCCAGTTAACGTTCTTTATTAATAGTTTGCCATTCCTTTCCTGTGAATCACTTCTCGTCAAGGATCCCTGGTGACGCGGTGGGTTACGCTTTGTGCTGCTAACGGCAAGGTCGGCAGTTTGAAACCCTGAGCAGCTCCGCGGGAGGAAGTCGAGGCGGAGCTTTCTAGTTCTGTCCAGTTAGTCTCGGAAACCCTGCCCTATAGGGTCGCAATGAGTCAGCCTCGAACTAATGGCAGTGACTCTGGCCAGTGCTCTTGGCAGAGGACACGCTGGCTAGGCAAGCAGCAGGATGTTGCAGATCTTGTACCAACTCTGACGGTCCTGGGTGAAGCAAACGGCGCTCCGAAGGCTGGAGGTTCGAATCTACCCACAGGGGCGTCCTTGGAAGATAGGTGAGACCCTCTAGGAGGGGCCGGATGGGCAAGCTCCACCTTCCGTTCCTTGTCCCCAGCTACTTCCAAGGCAAGACTCTCTCCCATAGCCTAACTGGACTGGTGACTTGCAGCAGGGGCATCTGGGAGTGCCATAGACTGGAGGGTCCATGCAGTGTCCTGCGTTACAACCAGCAAGCCTCTCTGCCTGTCTCCTATTACGGCTAGAAGCACTCGACCCTTCATTCACTGCTAGCCCTCTCTGTCACCCAGCCCTGCAAATCAGCTAGCTCTGTACTGCCAGCCCCGGCTGGCTTCTTACCCGTGAGGAGGCCTTAGTAGAACGGCTCACAACATTCAGACCCTCTGACCAGTGCTTAAGGAGCCCTGGTTGTGTGACGTGGGTCGCACCGTGGGCAGCTAACCTCAAGATTAACAGTTTAGCGGGCCAGCCCCAATCCCAGCTACGTGGGCCCCCTCCCCAGAAGAATGCACTACAGAGGACTGCACTGAAGCTACAGCTCTGGGAGAGGGGCACGTCTGCTCAGAGCACACAGGAGCAAACTAAGGGAAGAAGAAAGAGGGAGTGGAATAACGCATCCTGCCCCACCAAGCCCTGAGGACGATCTTCCTGCTCAGAGCAGCCAATGCACAGAGAGGACCATAGAGCCAGCCTTACCACAAGACATGGTGGGTCCCTCACTAACCCATAGCGCTATGGGGGACAGCACTGGAGACACAGTGCGGGAATTGTGCCCAAAATGACCCCACCCCACGGGGGGTAACACTAAGTGGGCTCAAGCACGGCAACAATGGGCTCCGGCACGATTGTGAAGATTGTGCAGGACCAGGTGTGTTTCTCTCTGCTGTACTTGGGGTGGCTCTGAGTCCCGGGCACCCAAGAACAACCACTGCAGCCATCCACTTGGGCCATCCCTAGGAGAGCGCAGGAGAGACTGGAGACAATGCCTTGATGGATATTCAGGATGATTGCCTCCTGCTCCCTGCTTCCAGCAGTTACTTGGCCACATATGGGGTCTGACTTCTGCCTTTAGAAAAACAACCCAAGCCCCATCCCATGGCCAGCAAGTCGATTCTGACTTATGGCAACCCCGTAGGGCAGAATTTCCTTATGCTTCCCAAGGCTCTATGTCGTTATTTATAGGAGCAGACAACCTCATCTTTCTCCCTCCACAGCAGCAGGCGGATTCAAACTGCCAACTACCCCTTGATCTTTGGGTTCGCTGCCAAACACTTAACCCCCTGAGGTAGCAGGGCTCCTTTAGAAAGACCAAACTCACTCCCATCGAGCTGATGCCAACTCACAGCGACCTCATAGGACAGGGTAGAACGGCCCCTGGGGGTTTCTAAGGGCGTAACTGTTTCTGGGAGTAGAAAACCCCGTCTTTCTCCGGGGGAGCTGGTGGTTTTGAACTGTCAACCTTGTGGATCACAGCCCAAGGCATAACCACTACGCCAGCAGACAGAGCACCTTCATTGCTCTGGCTGCTTTCAGAAACCAGAGACAAATAGCCAAACGTGGTTTTCTGTCCCAGAAAGCACTCAAGAGCACAGTTGTACTCAGCACACTTGGCCTCGCGGACCTGTCTCTGGAGAAGGGCATCCTGCCTGGTAAAGTGGAGGGGCAGCGAGAAGGATGCTAGACCCCACGGCAAGCGGCTGGTTAGAATGAGAACCATTTCAAAACCATTCTGTGGCACGGTCCTAACTTCGGAAAGGCTGTTCAGATGCCTTGTGAGGTGCTGTTGATCGGCTCTCGCTCACAGTAATCGGATGTACAACAGAGTTAAAGACCACCTGGTCTGCGCCACCCCCACAGTTGTTCTGTGTGAGCCCATCGTTGTAGCCCCTGCATCCATCTGTCTCATCGAGGGTCTTCCTCTTTCTCTGACCTTCTACTTTACCAAGTTTGATGTCCTTTTTCCAGAGACTGGTCCCTCCTGATGACATGTCCAACGTATGTGAGACGAGGTGTCAGCATCGTCTAAGGAACATTATAGCTATACTTCCAAGACAGATAGGGGGGCTTCAAAGAGTTCAAGGGAGTCTCAGCATCTGTGTTAGTCTGGGTAGACTAAAGAAATGCATGGCACCCATGTGTCTAAGAAAGAGATTTATATACAAGAGCAATTGAACATTGAGAAAACATCCCAGCCCAGTCCAGATTAAGTCCCTAAGTCCGATATTAGCCCATATGTCTGATACCAATCTATAAAGTCCACTTCAGACTCACAAAACACATGCAATGACGCCAAATGCAGGAAGATCACAGGCCAGTGGGTAGAAAGTCTTTGGATCCAGTGGCATTGGAAACATCTCAGCGCTGGCAGGGTTCTCTGCATGGCTTCTCCAGCACCCAGGGCTGCATCAGGGTGGGTCCATGGGTCTTGTCAGCTGCTATGTCTCCCAGGGTGTGAGCAGAGAGTCTCCCCCTCCAAGAAGGAAATACCAGAATTCCCAGAATCCTTAGGGGAAGGCTATGCCCACAGAGAAGACTCAATGTCTATGACATGATTGACAGGCTAGACTCCACCCCTCCACACTTAATCCTTAAATTGACAATTATATAACTGCCACAGGGGGCCTTTTCTCTTCACAGGGACCCTCTAGGACAGAGTGTAGCTGCCCCCGTGGGTTTCCAAGGCTGTAAAGTCTCCCCTTTCTCCCACAGAGATACTGGTGATTTCGAACTTCCAATCCTGTGGCTAGCAGTGTGCAACTCCTACCTTGCTGCCAGGGCTCCGTGGCTAGCAGTGTGCAACTCCAACCTACTCGCTGCCAGGGCTCCTGTTGGAAGACCGAGGTTCAAATAAAGCCTCTGGGGCAGTGCCCAGCATGCAGTAGATTTCCAGCAGGCATTGTTAGTCTGTGTCATGCTAGACTGGCCTGTGGCGTCACACACAGTCCTAAAGGTGGGGGCCCTTGTGTGTCCACAGGAAAGGGGCGCCCTTCTCTCCCCTCTCGATGAACAGCTCGAGGCCCTCTTGGAAAGGGCGGGCTGCAGTCATCTCTCTCTGCACGGACTGAGTGGTGAGATCACCGTGCTGGGTCTGTGGGCAGCGAGGGCACAGTCGCGCCTCTGGATTGAATCGTGTAGTCAGTCTCAGCCCCTAGACCTCTGGTTAAAACCCAAATTGGGGTCGGGCTGTCTTTGTTACATTCTTGTGTAACGGCAAGGGTTCCTGTCGGGTGTGTCTGGGTCCACGTCTGGGACATAAAGGGAGCAGACAAAGCAAGCAGATGGGGAGACAGATGCCCTGCCCCATGGAGACCTCTGAGAAGCCCAAGGACAAGGGCCTTCCACCTAAACAGACACAGAGACGCAGCTTTGGCCTTGAGTTGCCCCCTGAATTCCGACACGGAGCCTCCTCAACAAGGAGCCTTGGTGGCATACATTGTAGGCGATGCATTGGGCTCTAACCACAAGGTCAGCAGTTCAAAACCACCAGCCATTCCTTGAGAGGAAAGGGAGGCTTTCTACTCCCATAATGCATTTGAGTCTTGGAAACCCCCAAGGGAAGTTCTGCCCTGAGATATAGGGTCACTATGAGTCGACACCGACCCCGTGGCAGTGAGTTTGGGTTGGATGTGGACTTCGCGCCTCCTAAACGGTGAGAGAATAAACTTGTGTGGGTCAACAAAGCTACCGACGTGTGGTAGGCATTTCTGTCCGTGTCCCTGCTTCCCTCGGGAGACCACTTCTGCTCTGCCTGCCTGGCTCCCTCTCTTCGCCACCCCGGTGACCCCTTTGCTGGGAAATGCTGCTCTCTGTCCCTCCCAACCTTTCTGAGACATCCTGGATCTCACAGGACCCGATCCCGTCTTCCTCAGCACAGGGACTCTATTGGGGGCTGGAAGGCTCTGGCCTGAGCTGACCTATCAGCCCCCTGGTCACAGGAAGGGGGCTCTTTCCAGACTAGGAAGGAGGGAGCCGAGTGCAGCCACCGGCCCTGCTGCTGTGGAATGGCCGGGCTGAGAGAGTGAAGGTCCACACAGAGGAAACTCAGCGGTGGGAGGGGA